CCCGCAGAGCCACCCCCGGGCCCCGCAGCCGCCCCCGGGCCCTGTAGCCAGTCCCGGGCCCTGTAGCCAGTCTCGGGCCCTACGGAGCCACCCCCGGGCCCTCATCAAGCAGCTGCGAAGCAGCACCGCTTGCAGAGAGCAGCCCTTTTTTTACTGAAGTCGTTTGTGTGATAAGAACAGTCGACTAGGTGGGTAGAGCGATTATTTCTTAACGCCTCGCCCACAAGGCAGGTCTGTCACTGAACAGTTACGGGTGATTTGATGCAATCAAATCAATCGATTTGTCTGTCTGAGTCCCTGCAGGTGTGAGGAATTTTCGGCAAACTGCAGGTGGGAGAGAAAGACACTAAGAGTTGATGCAGCCCTGGTGTCAGTCACCAGCGTATTGTCACTTTGTAATGGCTGAATATGAATGAAAACTGTGGTGGGTGGATGTTGCTGTTCATATCTTGGTAATCTCACACTCAGAGTTGCCTGGGACATCAACGGGGTTTAAGTGACAGAGGAAGTTTGATCACTGACACGGGAGGTGCATGGCAGCTATATATGCTGCTCTTCTCAACAAAACAAAACAAACCAAACCCACAATGGTGGTTGTCTGCTCTGTGTTCAGGACTCTGCAGTGAGACAGGGGTCTCTGCCAGTGATTTCTGCATTTGATATTTACAATTAACATCATTCTGTGCTAACTGTGCTAGCAGCAGGTCGAATTTGTCACCTTGTACCATATATACACAGATCTGCTTACACAAGTCATTAAAAGAACATGAAAATTGAGCCAAGAAAGCACGTTAGATACTGAAGTTACAGTGGGAATGTGTGGTAGAAAGCAAAAAAAAATCCTTCTGTAGATGTTATGAAGAGCAATGAAATCATCCAAGAATGGAGTTTGTGGTGGATACAAATACTTGCTGCCAGGATTACCTGTTCAGAGCTTTTTGGATTTGAAATGAATTTTGAACAAGTTTGAACAATTAATTTTGAAATGAGTTTTGAACAAGATCCAGGGAAGATTGTTAATACTCTTGTAAAGTCCTTTGCAGAAAATTCACTTGTTTTTGTGGAAGATTGATCCAGTGGATCATGCAAACTTTTGTCACCCAGAAATGATCTATTACTTTGGGCAGTGGGGCAAGGTGTGCAAGCTGATAAAAATCCTTCAGGTTTTAACTGTGTCAGTTAAGGAGCTGCACTGAAAATTTCACCTACATCTGAGATGTCCTGTGGCAGAAGAATATTGCCATTGACTTGAAAAGATTGGCACGGCTGTTGGAAATGCTACATCATGAAGTAAGTAAGACAAAATCTTATGTGAAGTACTTTTAGTGCATTCAAGTTAAAATGGTTTAGCATCAGGTTAAGTTCTGCATTAAGTTAGTGGGTTTTTAGTACGTAGGAAATACAATCTATAGCTTACACTGTCTTTGAATACCAGTTGTCATATATTGACGTTGAATATTGAGTATTGATAAGGGGTTGAATAGGGAAAAAGCGAGTTTGCAAGGCAGATTATGCCACGTGAGCTGGGAATATTTGAGTAGTTTTTGAACCAAAATGAGACAGTGTTACTTTTAAGAGCAAGCTAACATATAAACATTTTGCTTTAACACTGTTGCCATTTCATGTCATAGTGTATCAAAGCAAATAATTGTTGTTTTGGTACAGGCTGTACAAGTGTAGTGATGAGAGTAATGAATGATCAAATAAGCCTGAAGTGTCTCATATTTTGTGTCCTACAATTTAAGGTACAGCTTTTGGTTGTTGGGAGACTTGCAGTGTTCTGAGAATGTTCTGTGGAAAACGAGGGTCTGTTTTCTAGTCATTCATTGTGTCACTAGCGCCAGTTACCCAGCAACTTCCAAACAGAATTGTTTCAAGCTCTCATATGGCTTTTTGCAGTATGGATGCTTTAAGGGAGCTTTCTGCCTTAGCTTTACCACTGTCTTGGTTTCTGTTGATCTTGTGTGTAACTTGCATGGAATTTCATTCAGTCTGCCAAAGGGCACTGAGCATTGGGACTGCCTGGGAAGCAGAACGAACATGATAGTTGCACAGTTCCTCCGGTGAAACTCCCCATGAGAGCAGCCTCATCCCAGGATAAAAATACACTTCCCAGACTGCTTATACTATGTTGCAAGTGTTAACTGAAACACAACCTCCCTCCTCAAACTGCTCTCCTAGCATGGGAAGATGCAGTCTCAGCACTCTTAATCGGAATAAATCGTTCCCATGAGGATTTTAAGTGGCATGATTAGTCCAGCAACATTTTTCACGAAGGACTTACACCCAAGACCAATTCTAACAAATATGCAGTGACTTAAAGGAGTATGAAATAGGACTGCTAATGTAAGAGTAGGATCAGATTGGCAGTAAACAGAAATTTTAAAGCCAGTAGAGACGCATAATCTGAACGTGAACAGTCTAGTTTACTTGAGCTTCACATACCTGAACTATGACAAGCAGATACTGGGAGCACATTGAGGACTGGAAGAATGCTTCATTCCCCTTGTTCTTGTAGTGCCTCATTTTTGTTTAGTTGTACTCTTGTGTACTTCAGTTTAAGAGCAGTCATTCTTATTATTTCTAATTGTTCATGACTGTTCCATACTTCATAGCTCTTAAAATATTACAGTTTCTATTCCTGTTAGAGGCACATGGTACAAGTCAGTTAAACAGATGCCTAATTATTCTTTGCTGAGTAGATGATAGAGAAGGGATTTTAGTAGAAGGCTATTAGACAAGGGAACTAAAGCTGAATGTGTTCACCAAGTATGTAAGAAATCAAGAAGCATTTATATCTGTTTTTGTCCATTCCCAGGGATTATTGTAGTAGATCATTATGTTCCAGTAAATGTCCAGGTTTGGTTGTCTGGGAGGTGAACTTCACTTTTAGTATGGAAGGGATCTGTAAGTGTACTCAGGGAAAACACAGTCTTGTAATAATGGGAAATTATGTGTTTGGGAAAGGAGTGTAGAAATCATAATTATTTTCTGTATTATTTTTTCATCTAACAAAGATCAGACCTTGTGGAAATTGCACTTTATTTTAGGTATGCAAAGATGACAGAAAGAAGGGGGTCTGTGCTTAAATTTTCTTGCTTCTTCTGACAAGTGTTACTCCACCAAACGTCATAGTCTGTAGAAGACAAATATGCATAACTTGTTTTTCATATAGACTTTAGGAAATCTATTTATAGCTATGTGTCTAGAAGTTTCTGTAATTCATCTATAAATCCATTTTATTAATTAAAATACATGTACAGAGCTTAACTTGATACAGAAAAGTACTCTGTCAATGCCAAGCAATTTAGAACTAAGTGAAGAACTTTAAAGACTTGTAGGTGGAAAAAGTGTGTTGTAAATTCTCAGATCCAATGCTGTGGATAAATCCAAGGGTGGAAATGCTGCTGTAGTATTCCTGGGGAAATTATAAGGAGCTGTTCTGCAACATGCTCAGCAGCTAAAGCCCTTCACATCTCAGTGCCTAGTTGGTCTTCGGGTAGGAATTAATAAAAAGATTTGTTGAGCAGGATGAGTGTTTCAAGGAGGGTCTTCTAATGTAGTTGGTGTTAACAAGAACAAGAATAATAAAGGACACTAATAGTATTTTCCACTAACTGTGGTTAGTATGAAATACTAAAATTCTGTATCTGCAGATTTGAGCACCTGTAAGGAATTCTGCAAATAGTAGAGTAATTTAGTGGCCAGGATTTGTTTAAAGTATTGAGCTAATCCACATAGAACTTTTTTTCTTTCAGCATTTTTATTTATATGCCATTGCTTTCTATCACTTACCTCCACCATTTCACTTCCTTTAACTTCTTGCTCATGAGAGAATTTTTCTGATTTGCACACAAGTTTCCCATTGACCATGTTCACAGTGCACTGTGGGAGCAGATTTTAAAATCACCAAAACAAATACAGATTTTGGAATTCACTTGGATGAAGCATGGGATTATGTAAATAGGAAGTAACTTGTACTGATGCTTCATAATCACATCTGCCCTTTTAACCTGGAGACCACAGTGTTTGGGTAAGAGTTTTAGAAGAAACATCCCTGTTTGTTGAAATGATAGGGATGTGTGCTAATGGAAATGAGACCAACAGCTTTCACTCACACACAGGAAGTGAAGCATAAGGATGAACAAGAGATGCACCTGTTCCTGAAACATGTTACCTTGAGCTTTCTGCCATCCATTGTAGTGATGTCAGCCTCTTTTCCAAGTGTGAATGAGTTAGTTACAGACTTCTTGGGTGTTTTTGATGTCACAACAAAGTTGTCTCCTTTTTGTTGTATTTCAATAACAGGCTTAACATCTTTGCCAACTTTGATCACGTCATCTGAGAACCCTGTAAAGAAGGCAAAACAAGACTTTCTGTTAAGGTGTGTTGATATGAAATAGCAAATTATTTTCTTTAATAAAGGTGCCAGAGATGCAGCCAATTATAGAAAGTGATGTCCAAGTTAAAAGACAAATCTGGACTTCTCACTTCTTCATGGGCATATTGTTCCATTCTAGCTAGTCTGTATAGATTTTGATAGTATTATTTCTTAATCTTGTGCCAGAGTATCTATTGTTTCTTTCAGTAACAGCTTGCCATGTCGTGACATTTCTTCCTGAAGAAATCCATGGGCGTATTATTTTGTTTCACTCACCTCTTCCCAAGGTGATGTGAGGTGGGAGTTATTTGCAAATCAGAGCTGCAGGCATCATACTGTCAGAGCAGGCTTTTCAACTGTGACTGAGTTTTATTCTACTCAGTATCTCTTATGTACTGTTAAAAACCGAAGTATGAATGTTTTGGCAAGCTTCTCAGAAGGGTAAGTGCATTTTTCTTAATGCAGGCACCTGCTAAATCATAACCACCAGGTCTACTCTTTACAGATTACTAACCAGCTATCACAGATGTTAATCACTAGTGCTGTAGGACTTGCCTGCTCTACTAATAGCATATTAAAAATGGCTGTATGTCATGGAAAACTAGATTTTAGTGAAATGTGTTTACAAAATTATGTGTTAATCTAAACAATGTGATACACCTTTTGTCAGAGACTTCTCTAATGTTAAGATAGGGATTTGGGGATTATTTGTAACCTTTGATTTGCATGATTTTCAGCTTCTTGTCATTGCCAAATTAGACTTAACAGACTTACCAGGCAGGGGGTAGTTTGTCATCCAAACAAAAGGAAAAAAAACAACACACAGACATAGTGTAATAAAATATGTAATGCAAAGTGTGTGTTGCAATCCAAGGAAAATATTGGAAAAGTAATTAGACACTTACCAAGGGCTTTCATAAACTCTTCCACATTGTTCTGATCATAGACCTGCCAGGTTCCATTGAATGACATTGTGGATGTTCTGAGGGCAGTGTTGCTAGCAGGAAAGTGAGTCTCCCTGCTCATTCAGATGCTATTTATGGAAAGGGAAAGGCCAGCCCAAATAGTGAGATGACTGGCTAATTATTAACAGTGGATCAACACTTATTAATCATTTATTTGTTCTTAATGATCATAACCTCTAGTTCATTCTGGTTTGGAGAAAGTCTTATCTTGACCAGCTGGTTTGGGATGTTAGGTTTATTGTGGGTTACTGAACTCACATAATTATTTATAATTGTAAAGTGCTGTATGGGTTAATTTGGTTTTGTTCACAACTTCTATGTTTAATATATTTCCTCTGTTTCGGATAGTACTCTTCAGATAAAGTTACAATTTATGCAAGGTAATTACTGTCTTATAGCAGGAACTTCCTAATTGTCCCAATATTCTCTACCAAGGGAACTTTGGCCTTAAATGGTGGGAATAAAATTCCAAAACTGTGGGTGTCCAATTACCTGAGAACATGGAAAGTCATGTTGGAGTGGGAGAGTCCGTTATGACTTTATCCAGAAGATGTCAGTAACGTGCACCTAAATCTGTATTAAATTCAGTTTATTTATATTTTTTAAATAATTAATGCATACATGGAAGACTAAAGGTAAAATAAGACATGGAACATTGCTTGGAGACTGAAATTAAAGAAGTAAACGGGATGTATTATTTTACTTGCACCAAGAATTCCTCACTTATTAGAGCTGTTGAGTGATATTCCTCACTGTCTGTGCAAGCAGGACTGTTGATTTTGGAAGACTTTAATTACATTGTGTATCTTGCAATTATATTGCATAATCCAAATAAATCCTGTATCCCAGGGGTAGGTGACCTTTCCAAGTTAACTTTTATTACTCCATAGTGGTCAGTAATTCTATTTAAATAGAAAACCAGTGCTGAACTTCTTCTTACAAATTCACAACTTTATTTTTATATGTAATTTTAAAGGCAATTCAGAAAGACCTGATTTTGTAATCACATTTACCTGAGAGCAAGATGAGGCACATGTACATGTTACTTGAGGACATGATGGATCTGTTTTACCATAGAGGGTTCTTAATAATGCCATCAGAAGGGTCTGCTTTTCTTCATGCACTGAAAGATAAATCTAGACAATTAGCTAAGCTCTCCCTTTTTAATACTATTACATTTAATAACACAAATTAATTTAAAGTCATGTCTGAAAGGTAGCTGCCTTTGCTCAATAGATTTGCAATCCAGTACAGGATTGCTGTGCTTGTATATGTTGACACTGAGCAGCAGTGTCCCTCAAATAACTGGGAAAAATACTGCTATTATGGGGACAGTTGAGCTTAGTTTGTGGAGCAAGGTAAGATGCTATTTTGCTGAATAAATGCATTTAGCTGGATGGTGTATTAGGGATACTGTCATGTTTTCATCTCTCACTGACACAGTGTTACTGGTAGAAGTGTAGCTGCAGCTTCAGAACAGTTGAGAGGCCACTCTTTTTTCTACATCCAGAATAATCTAATACAACTAATACGTTAAAAATCTCTTTAATTCTAAAGAATATGGGTGTTCAGTAGGATGGAAGGATCTGGGTCCACCTCTGTAGATGTTCATTCAATCTTTTTGTGTAGCTGTATTAGTGCCTATCACTATATACAGAAGCTGAATGTGTTCCTCTGTCAGGAGCCAAGCCTTGGAAATGTCACTGCCTTGCTTTCTTCCCACATGGCTTAGGTTTGGAAAGGCCCAGGCTTCAAGGCCCCCATTCAGCATGGTACTTGGTAAAATTCCCACCTTCCCACACACAGGCAGCCTGATTTCAAGGTGGATGTACTTGACAACAGTGCAGAGGCCAATAGTAGAAGTTTAATCATACATACACACACACACACACAAGCATTTGTTTGCTACAAGATAATCAGTAACACGTAGTGATTTAATACAAAAAAACTCCACTCACAGCCTGGTTCTCATATGTCAATCCTCTGTAAGATGAACCTGCTTGTGTACACATGTGCACACACCCACACATTAGAATTGTTTTCTAACAACTACCAAAATAAAAATACTAAACTATTACTAAAACAAAAACAGATACATGAGCCTGAATTACAGGCCAGAAACACTGAAAGGAATCCAGAGGAGTTAAATCCCTTTTAAATTCAATGAGACACAATTGCCTAATTCATTTAGGCTTTTTCATTTTAATCCCACCTGGGACTTCCTCTTCTTCTGTTCCTATTGGTATCTCTCCATGCTTATAGACACTGATAGTGACCTGCCCAGTTTCAGAACCATACTTGTTCTTGACAAAGATGCTGTATTTTCCTGTGTCTTCATTGCAGACTTTCTCTATGGTAATTGTCACCACTGTCCCCTTCACATCCATTTTGTACCGATCTTTAAAGACAATAACCTTCTCATTTTTGAACCAAGTGATTTCTGGGTAAGGTTCTCCAGATACACAGCAAGTTAAACAGAGGGTCTATTGTAAAACAGAAAGCAGAAATAGATTATGAAGATAAAAATGAGCAAGAAAATTCAGTTGATGAGAAATTAAGAAAAAGAAAAGTAAATTCTCTTAGAGTTTCAATAGGTGAAGTTCCAGAATGCTCTACTCCTTTTCCTGCCCTCCTCCAGTATAATCAGGATTAACCTGATTGAATTCATTGGGCCTGACTCATATTTGTGCTACTGTCTTTTTATAGCTTTCTTGCATTGTAAAGTGACACTTCAATGGGCAGATGGTGAATTGCTTTACAGGATTTTCATGCTGCCTATGTACCAGTAAAAGAGAATGTGACTCAGAAGTGTAAGCAGCAAGTTGATATGATGGGAAAATTAGGTCCAGCAATTAAAGACCTTGTTCTAATCCTATAAAATGGCAAGACAACAGGAAGGATCAGGCTGTGAAACAGATCTAGGAAACAGTAACATCCAAAACCTGAGGGGAAGGTTAGTGCCATACAGAGCTTGTGTCTGTGCAGAAGCACATGCATGTCTGGCAGGACCATCAGCAGTATAGGGGCTGATACAAGAACTGTGGAGGGGACCACTTCACAGCTCTGGCAATTGCAGCAGCTCAGAAAAGCTACTGGGAACACACAGGAGGGGAAACCAAGTAATTTTCTCCCCATCAGTTATTCTTCTATATCTGTGCAAGGGCCAATTGTACGAACAGTTACTTAATATTACCTTGTCCTCCATGATGGTGGCAACATCTGGCAGACCTTGAACAACCCTGGCACGACCTGGGAATGAACAAATATGAGCTTTTAGTTTGACCTGCCAGCAAAACACTGGGCTTTGTTTCACAGAGGGAAGGAAATAAATGTACTTACACTTTTCTGCTATTGCTCTCTCCCTGAAAGTGTGAAAGAGAAAATTATAGTGGTTTTATTTATTAGGTGTTGTATTCTCAAGACAGGATATAACACTCAAAATAGATTTAGGTGTGACAATATTTAGGCAGGAACTTACTTGAGCCTTCTGTGCTCAGCCAGGGCATCTTCAAAGGCTGCAAGGAATGAAAAGGTTTTAGGGAAATTTGCCATTTATATAATTTGACTTAGTAGATTTATCATAATGCATCAATGTTGGAATCACAGTTATTTGTGCACATAGATGTGTATAATTATGATCTAGACAGTATCTCTATCTGCCCTAAGGAAATTTGAATCTATTTATATACTGCTGAAGTGAGTGGGATCTAGTTCTCCCTTTCCAAAGAGGTGTTCAGGGGAGGAAAAAAACCCTCTAACTTGGAACAGCTGGGAAAAGTCTTTGTAAAACTGAAGCCACATTCTAGTTTCTAAGATGCCAACTGTAAGCCCTGTCCCAGGACCTGCTCCTCTCACACTCACTCTTTC